GACACAGGTGATAAGCGTACCCTTCTCAAGGTTATTGGATGGAATTCGCCTGGAATTAACTGGAAGTATTTATGAAAACAACCGCCCTCTTCAATAGCCTACCAAGAAGAGTAATCGGTACCACCCAGACTCCAAGCTAGTACTTTCCAGATCAAGAACATTTAACTTGCAGAAACTATTAGCGCAGACCATTGGTAGGAAATTAAGTCACTAATATAAGCAATGTGCATTTTAATAGAAAGTATCTTTATTCATGTAAATTTCAAATCTTTTACATTTTATCAATAGATACACGTATACAAATTACAGCTCCATTTCCCTAATTTGTAATGGAGACCAGTCAGATAAGCTTAAAAACAAATATACTGACGGATTTTCCCCTTCCTACAATAAACTATATAATATTTATTATTTCGATCAAACGCTTAATAACGTGAACAATAATAATTCTATTACACTTTATGTTATTACTTAGACTCACGCTGGCATTACAATGTGGCGGATCTTATTCTAATTGAAAATTTATTTTACAATTCACATCTAATTTCCATACTTCGGAGTGTTATTTAATTACTTATACAACTAATATTACCCTATCTGTTCGCCGAGAATATCCGTTGTGAGAAACTGTGTCGGGATACCTTCTCCTACATCCGATCGTCACCGTCTCGGAATACCTTCTTCTTAATCCGATCGTCTCTCTGCGCCTCTACAATACTTTGAGCAAAATGTGATCTGTTCCAAGTAAAGCATTTTCTTGCGCTTCCCTGTCTATTGAATGACCTGGGAGTTTAGTCAAGTTCTTACACAAAATTCGCGGTACAAATCCCAGAGCTCCGATAACTATCGGGACTCAGTGTCTTTTACACACCACCGGGACATGTGCTTTTACGCACCACATGGCTGATCTTGATTTCCAAACTGTTGTATTTAAGGCGTTTCTTTGACTTCTTCGTATGACGATTTGACCGCATGGCACAACTACATGTAGACACGGCTTTTTTCTCCAAATCGCGGATAACAATATCCGGTTTGTTTGCCTCTATCGTGCGGTCAGTTTAAATTTGATGGTCGTACAATATAGTACACAGTCCAACAGACGTGACCGGTTTTGGTAAGTATTCGTACCACTTGAACATGTGGTTGTAACTGTGAAGGCAGTAGAGATCTGAAGTGGAGGTAACTACACACCCCGAATACTAGTTTCAAGTATTTAGCCTTTGCTACAATTGAACAAGCTGAGACAATATTATCAATGGTTTCAACTTTCCACTGGCAATTGCGGCGTATATTATCTTTTATTATTATTATTATTATTATTATTATTATTATTATTATTATTATTATTATTATATTTCTATTATTATTATAATTATATTGTTATTACTATTATCATATTATCATTATAATCTCAATATAAATATAATCCGACTGTGAAAGTATTCATTCACAGTTACACGTATTCATTTTCAGCGTGAATCACAACAGCAATGAATAATGGGCGCTAATCCATACTTTGATTGAAACATTTTCGAGCATTCCCACTTTAGCAAACACGCGATGGGAAGCACTCCAAGAAGAGCTGCTCCTCCCGGGTTTCACCCCTCGCCCCACCCCGCGACCATCCGCTCCGTCGGTTTACTACCCGGCTGCAGCCCATGCCCGTCCCCCCGCCCGTCAACCCGTCCAGAGACGCTGTTACGGCCCAAGGGCTCGGATTCGCACGAGGCCGCCGCCGCCGCCGCCCTCAGCGCTCTCAACGCATCTGACGCCACCGAGGCCTCCGCCCCCACCGCCTCCGCCCCCCGGCAACGCTTCCACACCGCCCTCGCCCCTCCCACACCCACCTCCGCCACCACCTCCCCCTTCACGGCCACCGTCCAGGAGAGGTGGCTCAGGCCATCAACTGATGTCACTGCAGTGCCTCTGACAGGGAGATCCTGGGGTTTGAATACCGAGGAGCGAGTAGCTCGACACTAACTAGATAGCAAGGTCGAATTCAGTTCCTGTCTGCAGCCGGCTGCTCCCATCGGTAGTTTTCCGTGCTTTTTTCGATCATCATTTGCACGCGGCGATGGTGTAATATATATTGATCGATATTGTCAAACCCGATCGAAGCCGTGGATTTTGATATAATAACCTTCGTACGCCTTCCTTCGGAGGGGAAGTAAAGCCGACTGTCCCATATTAGTAGATTTACTTGCACGTAAAAAAAAACCTCAAGTCAAAATGACGCCTCTGAGCTAAATTGAAATCGCCTGTTTCTCGCCCAAGAAATACCTCCTTTCTCTGCTATTTAGTGAAAGGAGCGTAGCGAAATTTGCGTCGTCAGACGAAAGAGCACGCCTCATGGCCTGAGTCTCGCCACTAAAAATTAAGGCATTAATTCAATTCAATTTAACGTCAGGCGAATGCCGCAGCAGCCACAGAATCATAGGGGCCACGGACCGCGCGCGATCTCTTCCTTCCCCTTACTTTACTTATTCTACACCTTACTTACACACACTAACATCCACTACATTACGTCACACGTCGGGAAATCGATCGGGAGCCTAGAGCTTGTGCTGACTGGGGCAGTGCCCCGCTGATTGGAGATACCTGCTTGGGAAAACCCTGGTAGCCGACGTAGGTCGCCATTCAGAGGGGCACAGATCACCGCCGACTCCCGAGCAAAATGCTTGCACTACGCTTACTGGACCTATGACATTCGCATTTGGCGCACTCGGGATCACTAGTAATCAATGTATGTCTACTGCCCCTACCACAGCCCTCGTCACCATCACTGCCGCCTACACCTCCCCACTCACTCACCTCCTTCTCGACAGCCACTACCGCCCGACCTCAACCTCCGCCACCTTCTCCTCCGCCTCCGCGTCCGCCAGCACCGCCTCACACGCCTTCTCCGCCGCCGCCCCTCCACCGCTAGCAAGCGCTTCCGGCGGGAGACGCGCCGCCCGTAAAGCGACGTCAGCGGTGGCGGCGGCGGCGGCGGCGGCGGCGGAGGCGTAGGCGGTGTAGGCGGAGCAGTAGAGGAATGGGAGGGCAGCGGAAATGGAAAGCACAGGGTCGAGTGGTGGATGAAAAAATATGAGGGAAATAAGAAGAGAAATGAAAAAGTCTGGGAGGAGGATATAGGGAGGGAAAAGAGACGGGAGGGAAAGGAAGTTGAAGGGACGAAGAAGGAATGGAGAGAAAGGCAAAGAAAAGAGGAGAATTTCATTATAATAATGCTAGTGCTGGAAAAAGCATTGTAACAGACCTGAAAGGGAAAACTAAAAATAGACTATCAAGAAAATTCATGGATAGTACAGTTTCAAAAATATCCTCGGGAAGGGCAGATTTTTTATTTATATTTTAATGACGTACTGTTGTTCTGACAAGACCAAAACAAACGGCAATTTTCAAATGCTTTGTACAAGGTTCATAAAGAGGAGATTATATCAATTATAATTTAAAGACTGTTGAGGTGGCACAAGGCAACAACTGATATCACTGCGGTTCCTGTGTCTGGGAGGTGCAAGAGTTCGAGTCCTAACGGTTCCCAGGATTTTCGACAGTAGCTAGGTCAAAATCAGCAGCTGTGTGGAAGAGAACTCTAGCGGATGACTGCTCTGATTAGTTGTTTCCCGCGGCTTCTCCGATCAATGGTGAATACTGGAGTAGTAAAACAAACGGTGCACAGAACGCGTGCGAACTTTCCTTCCTCTACCTTCGCCTCTTCTCTCACTTGCACCACACACACACTACCATACATGTCGGTACATCAGTCAAGAACTTAAAGCTTGTCCCAGTTGAGGCGGTTCCCCTTTGGTGAGAGATACCTGTATGGGGGAATTTCGGCAAGGCACCGTGTAGGTCGGCTCCAAAAAATATTTATCATAAAAAATATCTTTGTCACTTGAAAATCGCTCTTTTCGACTATCTTACATGAGGAAATAGTTCTGCGTCACAAGGAGTCAGATACGATCAATACCCGCTTCAGTTCAGATCGACCTTAATATTCGGTGCAAATTTGGAATTACTACGCAGTGGCATTCTGCAGTATAAATATCCTATGAATTTATTAGTTATATTTATTTCACTTGTTTTAGAATTCGCGGTATATATTAAACTTTCTCTACGTCTTGGAGATACGTAGGCTTGTTTATAATATCTACAAATGAAAACAGAATAACACGCGTGCGTGTTAGCATGCCCTTTGTAATTGGCCTGTAGTCTGATAACCTCATCTTTGGCGACGAATAAGAAAGCGATCATATTGTCGAGTACATTAGATCATGACAACTAGAAGAATATTGAGCAAAGAAATATTGAGGGCAGAAAGGCTTCACAATAAATTTAAGTTTATTTCTAAACTGGCATACCTCCACTTCCGTTTCTTTTTAGTTTTACGTGTGACTATATTTTAAGACGCTTCATTACCTTGCTATCAATTATGGTGTTCAAAAATGGCATTTCTCTTGTGTTAAACGAAATTCGAAAATCATTGTATCCTGTATTGAATTATAAGAATGAATTTGAATATTTATATTTCATGGATTTCCGTGCCCTTGGTATTTTGTCTGCAGTTTAGTAATTTCATATTCAAATTAACTCTTACACCATTCTCATCACAATAATTCCTTAAACTTGCAAACCGTAGAATTTTATTTTAAGTAATAAGGCTAAAATTCAAATCTATCCTTTCCTAAAAAAGTATTTGAAAATAATAGTTCAATTGAAAATAATTGACATGGAAATTGAATTCAATTTTTGCCTTTGAGGGGGGGGAGGCACGACTCTCGTTCACTATGAAATGTTCGTTTGATTTGATTCTAAGCCAAGTTTATAAAGTTCTAAACTCTTTTCTATTTTGTTAGTGTTGTGAACAACGTGTTTGCAACTGCGCAGTTTGAGTACTCGAGGACAGTGAGTTCACAATGAAGGTTTTGAACAGGTGTTTCTTTTTTGTGATATGCGAGAAAATGAGGCTATAAACAGTGCTAAAAATATGATATTTAAGGCGAAGTGTAAATGTCTGAATTGTCATTCTGAAATAGAATTAACGGAAAGGAAAAAAGGGGTATATGTGGGTGTGTTATTATATTATATATTAATATCAGAGAGCAAATTCAACCATTAGAGTACTTTCCTACAACAGTGAATTGGCAATTACGGTGGATAGACTCAAGATTGTTTATAATGAGCGCGAGGGACAAAGGTCCGATCCTCGCCCTGATTTGAATCCGGGAGAGCAAAGCGAGAAAACGTGCCTTTGAAAGTAATTTGGCATTACAATGTGGTAGTATCAAAGCGTATGCGAAGGATGAACTGCGGCAGAATGAACCAATAGCGAAGATACCGAATCTTTCTTGGGGTGATGCGTTCTTTTACGTGAACCACACCCTAAATTAGTTAACCCAATTTTCAATTGAAAAGACAGCTGGTGGAGCTAAAACAGCACGTACTTTCTTGCCCACATTTTCAAGCAAAATTATTCGAAAGGTACTTAAATTTTTGAAAAATTGTACGTGACCTAATTTTAAATTATACTTTTTAAGGAACAGATTTTATTAAAGGCAAACTCTCTGTCTTCACACTATGAAATACTAAGATTTAATAAAAAACGATGAATTCATTTTTTTTAAATTTTGAGACTGTCCCAGTGGCTTTATGAAAAGTACCCCCAAAATTATAATATCGGTTTCAAATCCTAGTAACAACGACACCAGGATTGGGAACGCACGGACATTATGCCGTCATTTGATTTTTCGGTATCAATGATGCACAAAACATGTATTCTGTCTACACTACATGTTAGAAGATTTTTCTAACTAGATTTATCCACTTAGAGCCCTGCAATAAGAGTTTTTCTGCCGAAAATTCTCCGCTTTTTCGCGCAGTATGACATACCTTTGTGTGTAGTGCAGAGGTAGAGAGTGCAAAGAATCTCACCTTTGGCGACGGGGGAGACGGCGATGAAGTTGGCGAGCGCCGCGCCCGTGCCGTGGCCGAGCAGCGTCACCCGCTCGGGGTCGCCCCCGAACGCCGGGAGGTTCTCGCGCAGCCAGTGCAGCCCGGCCACCAGGTCCATCAGGCCGAAGTTGCCCTGCGCCGAGCCGCGCGCGCCCGTCTTGAGGAAGCCTGCGCACACACGACCGCACGCGCGCCGTTAGTCACACTGACGCACACGCGCGAGCAAGGAGTGCAAGTTCAGAGCGGCCGTCTAGCACGCTTTGTCAGAACAGGATCCGCTGGGAAATGCAGAGACGTTTCTCTGCGCTCGTCCGTGCGTGCGCGTCTTTGGAAAACCTGCCACACACGACCACACGCACGACGTCAGGGACACTAATACACAGGCGCAGGCAGGGTCAGCTGGGGAAGAGCACGATATTACAAGTTCAGATCACAATAATTGCACCCTTTGTCTGAACAGAATTTGTTGGAAAGCAAAAACGTCTTCCTGCGCTGCTGCGAGCGTTCGACTCGGTCTGGAACTGTAGGCAAGAAACAACTTGGGGAACAGAGGGTTAAACTGCTCACGGCATCACAATACCGACTTGTGTATACAGTATAAGATACAAGAAGGCTACAAAAACAGTGCACTCATCTCGCATGCAGTGTTAGAGCAGTATATGATGTGAAAAGCAAAGAAGTTCCGTGTGCGTACCATCGCATGTATTCCTAAAACCCGTCAAACACGACTATACGCGCGCCGTTAGTAGCACTGATACACAGGCGCTGTGAGGATCTGTTGGGGGAAGACACTGGAGGGTGGGATGGTTAACTCCATCCAACTATCGGATAGAGTACACGATAAACAAAGACTAAGTACAGAGCACTTATCAGAACGTTATCTTTTGGGAATTGAACAGAAGATTTTTTGTGCAGACCCGCGCGTGCGCGTGTTCAGACAACCTTCCACACACGACCGCACGAACGCCGTCAGCAACAGAGGCACATAGGCGCAGGCTGGTGCAGCTGGCGGAAGCACTGGAAGGACAGAAGGTAACACTAACGCATCCATTGCCACAAGTTCATGTGTTGGACAAAGCACACGAGGAACGAAGCATACAACTACACTGCATGCTCACGAGAACACATTCAGAATTACAACTAGTAAATATAGTACACTAGCAACGAAAAGTATGAATTATAAAAATACGTCCACTAACGTTTCTATTTTTAACAATAATAATAATAATAGTAATAGTAATAACTAATAAAATTATTAGAATATTAATTTTCATTAAATTTGTTGAGGGTCCTGATAAGTCAAAATGACTGAACATCAGGTGCCCATAATTACAGAATTGTACAGTATTTTTTTCTTCCTTAATTAATAATGTCGACATAATATCATTTTACATAATTTATTAACATAATAACATAAAACTTATTCTTATGTCCTATTTTACCATAAAAATTCAATGTAATTTTAAAAAGATATAAGAGTTCTAATTGTAATAATTGCAATATCGGGTTTTACAGTGACATAATTAAAGACAGGAAAATATGTACTAAGAGACATCAAAATATGTACATAAATATATAATGAAAACAGTAAATGTAATAAATATGTAAAATAAAATATAATATGTAATACTATATTCAATAAATAAATGCCTGCGTCTTCGCGGAAGATCTTGGACTTGTGAGGCCTATCAAGAGATCTCCTTTGTAAATTTGATGCCCCACGAAAGAAGACATCGTACAAGACGTTTAAACAATACTTCTTTGCCAAGAAGGTAACATAATAGTCCTTCACAAAATAAAGTTCTTTTAATTAATGTAATTAATTTAATTCAGTTCAATGGTATGTTAGGTAAATGATTTATTTAATGTCATGAATAAATTGTTAGAAAGAATCCATAAATGCTTTTGTGTTATCAAACCGAGAAGTCTGATTTTACATTAATATTTAAACTCCACGGGGAACTCATACTGTATTCTTAAAGAAAAGAATAGATTTTCAGCATTACCTACTCCATTGAGGATGGGGCGTCGACTTACGTAAGTTATCTAAATATAAAAAACCATAAAATCTGGTATAGCACAATAATAAGTTTATTGACATTATTAAAACGTTGATGATTTGAAATTGTTTCAATATGTTTAATTAATATATAAATTCACATAAGTGCTTGGTGTGTTCTCATTTATAATACAGTCATGTATGTGTAACACATAATACATACTAGTACCAAAATCAACGCTTACAGTAATTATGCAACTATCCTAAATACAATGTTTACACATAAGTATTGATTTTCTAAGTAATCTCATGAAAAATATTTATTGGCCTATTTAGGTGTTTTGTAACCACATTTTCAATTATTTTTTGAATTTCAGTTTGGACACAGTTCTAGATCTAGTGGAAGTCCATTGTATAATTTCGGTATTACATAATTTAAAGATCTTTCTCCGTACCTATTATGTGTGAGTGGGATCATCTATTTTTTTCTTTTGATCTCTAATATTACGTAAATCTATTGTTTTAAATTGGTTATTATAGGTACAAATTACATGATACAATTTGTAGAAACCATTAGAAGTCAAAGCATCAGCTTCTTTCCAAAGTTGTTTGATATTTGTTGGATTGTTATTCATGATAATTGTCAGAATTTTCGATTGTAAATTAGTTATACTAGACAGACGATTATACCTATTCACGCCATATATTAACAACATATCTTAAAATAGATTATTAATGTTTTGTATAGGAGAAGTAAATTATTTTATTAAAATAATATTTTGCAACATAGAGAGCCAGATATTCTTTTAAATTTGTCAAATAATATATTAGTATGCTTTTCAAATTTCAGATGCGAATCGAACGTTACACCTACATAATTATATTCTGTGGTAAAAATCAGTCTCGCACAATTACAGAGTACTGTTTGGTCAACAATGAGGCATTTACACACATGAAATCTAGTCCCTTCAATTTTTGGGTTTTGCATAAGTGATGTTCTGAAGAACGTTAATTTAGTCCTACTTGGATTAACCAAAGGTTATTATTGTATGACGATTTTAGGGGGAGTTGAAATCATTTTCTATAATTTCTTGACAGAACGTTTGGTTTCTGTAAGAATATATCAGTATTGCAACATCTGCATACATATATCATTTTCGTTTCTTCATTCTAATGAAAATGCTATTAATATAGATAATAAATAAAACTAGTCCCAATTGACTTCCCTGTGGTACACCATATTTAACGTCTTTTAAGGAACCTTCCGTATTTGCAAGTTTAACTATGAACTGATAAGTAACTAACAAAAAGCTTTAGAAAACAATCGTTGAGTCCTATTTCTTACAGGCTTTTAATTAATAGCCAACAGTATTGTAACAGTATTTGTAGCAAACAGTATCAAAAGCTTTTCTATAATCTATATACAATGGAAGTGTTACTTTCCCCTTATTTAATTGTTCAGCAACATAGTTGCCTACTTTGTTAAGTAGCTGTTCACTCCATTTCCCGTTTTGAAAGCCGTAGTGTCTACAATAACTATTTTATATTTATATATTGGGTCATATAATAATAATAATAATAATAATAATAATAATAATAATAATAATAATAATAATAATAATAATAATTTCTGGACAAAATTTAAAAACAATCTTCTAACTCTCAGACTTTGTTTCTTGCCAGATGGCATTGCCACAACAAATCTACCTCTTGGGATATACCTTCTGGCTACGTAGTTTGGATTATCCGATATAAACGAAAAGAGAATGATAAATAAGCGAAGATAAGAGTCAACAGTAGATGTTAAAAAAGGTCGTATTTGACCAGTACGTATCAGTAGAAAATTCGTGAGAAAAATGTCTAACAAGAAATGAAATACTAACCTATCTACAAACTCGACAAGAACCCAGATATGACGGCTTGAACATTGAGTTTTTACAGAATACCATCAGACACACTGGGAACTTTAATTAAGCTATCTCAGAAGTTTTGTATTCGTATAAGGGTCATATGAAATACATTTGTAGGAAGAGAAACATTTACATGCAGGAAAGTGAATGATTTAATGTTAGGAATTTATGCAGCTATGATACAATACTTCTCTGAAAATTAGAATTAATTGTAAGCCGGAGATAGAACGACTTTTCTTGGCTTGAATCGTCGAGGGAAGTTCAAATAAATCTGTAGTAGAAGCTCTTTTGTCACACTCCTTCTGGCACAAATTTATTCAACGAACTATTATAATTAAATACTGTTCATGCTCGTAGAAGCGACGACATTAATGTCTCTTCTATGAGCTTAAATGTCGTCGCATCTACATTAAAGATGTCAATAATTGTCATACAAATATGATAAAATATTTGATACATAGTTATATAATATATAACTATATATCATGAAAATATTCGATGACAATATTTTATATTATACAATGTTGTCATCGATTGTTTGTAATGTACTATAAAATTTCATTGAATTTGTCTAAAAATACCACGTAGAAAAAATACAATACGCACGTTATATGACACTTATTTGCTTAAAATAAAAGTTCATACAGCAAAGTGCATATATGCAGATTTTCAAGTCAATATACGAACAAGATATATTTTTTGCTTGAAGATACCGAGTAATACGACAATTGAATGTCAACGTCTGTGAATTATAGAATTCTGAAAAATGTTTTCTGTCCTCGCAGATCGTAAAAACCGTCAAAGCGGCTTGTATAAAATTTACTGCACTTTTAGAGCTCTGCATCTATCTAGACCACAGGACACGTCGAATTAATGGACCATTCGATGTCTGCGTTGAATTTGTAGCTTCAGCTTATCCCAATAAACGACGAAAAAGTAAGCGGTCACACAAAAAACTGCAGAATTGACCAATAAAAATGTAAAAGCGGGCTAGTATTGCATTGGTGCACAGTGAGTTTATGTAAAGTTTTAAAGCAGAATTGTTGGTTATCTTTAATAGAATTCAAAAAGGCTTATTGTTCAAGAACTAGTTGAAATCAAATCTTCTAAAGGGCAAGGAGATATTTGTGTACTCGTATTATTGATAAGATACAAATAGCTTCAAAAAAATTAGATTTACTTACATGTGAAACCTTTTTCAGAACTTTTACATTTATTAAACGAAATGTATCATTTTAAAGGATGTTG